TGCGTGAGGGATGATCGGAGTGTATTTGAGCAACAATGTGTGATGTTGTCCCGTACACACTCTGTAGTGTGATAATTTACATGCTGAAACGGTATGCCCTTTTTTTAAACAATTTAGACAAGCTGGAATTGCCTTAACTGCGTCGAACCGTTGTGACACAGGCAATTCAGCAAATGCTGTACACGAAGTTATCATGGGGCTATCAGACGTACAATATAAGCATTTGCATCATTGGATTGATTTACCTTGTTGCACAGAAAAGTGGACTTTAAGTTAACGCAAGAGCTTCATCTGACAAACATGACAATAAATGGTTGAATTTTTCGATGTCCGTAAGAGTTTCATCACTATGAAAGAGGCTTTCATACAAACTAATGAAATTTTTATATTCAGAGTATTTGCTACTAAACTTTGGTAATAGCATACTTGTCAACTTCGATTGCGGCTGACCACAGTGGTGCGAGATTGCAGGGCTGCTAACAATGCGATGTTTTTTCAACTATTGTAAGAATAGAGATTTGGTTGAAACATAAATGTCTTCTAGAACAGAATAATCGTCAGTAGGATTCAGTTCAAATATTTTGCTCTGATATTGCATCGCTCAATGTAAGAGTTAAGTATCTCTAATCTACACTCTAACTTGCTAGGACCTTTCGAAATATTTCCGTCTAGTAAATTCGACTTTAACTTTAAAATGTCAGCAACTACAGCTTCTCGAAATTCTGTTGCGGTGCCAATACTATTTGTTTAATCAAAAAAAAGTGGTCCGCGATGCACCGTTGTGGCTACGGGCAGCAATAGTGGTGAAACAACAAAACGGTAAAATTCTACTTTCTACCATCTACTTTCTTAATAAAGGAGGGACAAAAGTGGTCATTTGCTAACAGTTTGGCGAGCCGATTCTTTAATACTTTCAATTTGATGGCAATGAGAATTCCATGACACCTTCGTGAAGCGCTTTTTTGTAAACCCTTAGAACATCCTTATATGGAGTCCATATCTTAGTACGATAGCTTTCGTTTGAAGGTTTTCGAGTATTCTTACGGAGCAAAGAGAGCTTCTCATGCCACCATGGTGATCTACATTTCTTCGAGAACACGATGCTTTAAAGGAAGAAATAATGGTTTTAGTAAATGAGTTGACCCTACTCTTTAACTCCCTAAACGAGTTAATTGGAGCGGGGTTTCTGTTGATTTTACTATTGAAAGTATCCCAGTTTGACTTCGTGGGATTACGTTGAGACTGCTTAGCTACTATGGGAATATCCATCACAAACATGATGTATCTATGATCAGAGAAGAAGTTTTTGGCTAAGACTCTCCAATCATTGATTGCTGATGAGCGTGAAGTCGAGCAGAACAGCCAGATTTTTCGTAGAACACTTATCAACAAAGTTTCTTGTTTATAATGTGGTCTTACTAGTGCCCTCAACCTCTTCCAAAATGTTATACAGTAGAGCATTTTTGAAAATTTTGAAAATTTGTGCAGCTTGTATCAGTCTTGACATTAGTTTCACAGCTCCCGTTCCATCTTTGTGTCACTTCGCCGTCATGCTGCGACTTTCTTGAGATCTATTACGCTTGCCGCCATCTTCGACTTTGTTGCCGGTGATAGAAAACAGGCGCAGACTTTCATTATGAAGATACTCCTCCACAATGGCGCGGTATTTAACAGCGTCGACTTCGTCACGTTCATGGACCTTGCCTTATTTGTTGTTGCTCTCGATTTTCCTGCCCTCGATTGGAATCGGTAACGATCTCCATAACATCTGATTTCAACAATTCGTTTTCCGTAAGTTTGGTGGGTTTATATGCTCCAACCACGAGTTCCACGGCAATATCGGGGGGATTTATTACATGTTCGTATTAGTCCACCATACACGATAAAGCAGCCGCGGCGGACTCGAGGATAATTGGACAAAAGAAATGGCCACCATAGCAGCGTCCCATACCATGGCTAGATCACACTTAAACTCTAAAACGGTCATGTATTGGGGAGGCTCCACAAAAATACAGTTGAACTGCAAACCTACACTCGGAGAGCATGGATCGCGTAACACTCCCGAGTTAAGGGGACTTTCATACCATGATCAAAAAGCAGTGAGTGGTGTGCAGCTATTAAAGAGCTAAGGACATTAACTCAATTCCTCCTGATCTTAGCTGGGCACCGTCCTAACAGCGTACAGGACAAGAAAACTATGTGATTCATTACCAGACGACTTCCTCGTGAAGGGTTTGCCATCCATGTTGTGTATTTAGTTTCAACTAAATACCCTAGAATTTTAAAAACAATTTGTTACGAACTGTTTTCTTGGTACGTAATGCAACTTGTTAATATGACTCATTTCTTTTTTAACAATTTCTGCATACACCGCGGAAGCCTTCGTTGCAAAATATTATTGAGTTCAACCACTGAACTCAACATTTTAATATATGCGAAACTGCATTTTATTTTATTGAGTTCAACCATTGAAATCAACATTATAATATATGCGAAACTGCGTTTTATTTTATTGAGTTCAACCATTGAACTCAATACCCAAATCTTTATGCAGAATTGTACGTTTAACTAACTAGGTCAATATTTTACTTTCTATTTTCTGTAAAACAGCAGAAAATAATGGAAATTTCCGATCATGCATTACGCACATGATCAATGTTTTCACTGGTTCCAAAAGGTGAAAACATGGGTGGAAAGTTTCGAACGAGTTGGTTGATAGAGTGGTGTTCAAGTCGTGAGTTGTTTTTGGAGTACTTGAGCGTTCTTCTAAATAATTTATATTATAAAGGTGTTTTGTTGTTTAATTTAAAATAATTTGTATAATTTAGTTTGCATAATACATGAATACACTTACATAGGTATGGTAAAATAAAGATAAAGTCCCAACCGCGAAGAGTCGAAAAAAAATACAATGCAAAACAAAAGGTACAACAGAAGAAATTAAATTAGTGAATAAGCAACTGTAACCTACACCAGCACCTACAGCGACATCAACTAAAACAGCATCTACAGCGACTGCAGCCATAGCACCAACATCAGCAACTACAGCAACCACAGCCACAGTACAATAACAGCAACTACAGTATTTGCGGCAAATGCAAAGGAAGCAGCAACTGCAGATGTACAGCAGCAATATAAGAATTTTTTAAATAAAATTAAAAGACATCGTGTTCAAAATTTGAAAGTGCGTATTTATTTGTTGGGTGCACTGTTGTGGGAACACAAAAATAATTTGGAGAACCACAACAATGTTTACTGTGATTTTCAAAATTGTTTGGTAGTCTGGTACTATGAATGTTTACTGTGATTTTCTTGCTTTAAAATATACCTTTGTGGGGAAGATGGGGTTAGTGAATATAAATTTTGTTTATTGAATATATATATAATAGCTTTCAAGTGCATCGACTAAAAACCGCCTTTGCACTTGCTAACAATTATATATATATTTTTACTAAATGTAATGTAATATGGGTTAACCAATTAGACGCGAGTAATTTAAGTATTAACCAATAGTATCAGTACATAAGATTCTATTGGAAATTAGTATTAAGAAACTATGTTAGATTTAAGAATTTAAAAAAAATAAAAATCAGTCTTGCTTAGACACTCAAAAGTAACGCGTCTTTTATTTGTACTGAAGATAACTTTACATGGCGATCCTGCCAGGAGTTGCAGTAGGACCAATAAGATCTAATAAATCTAATAAATAAATATGCATTAATTTGCAGTATACAAAAAACAAATAAACTACATAATTAACATATTAACCAAAACTGTCTTAATTTACAAAATATTTATTAATTGTTTCACTTTAATGAGGCCAAACACTTTCGTCAGCGCATTAACCACATAAAAGCTGATATTGCAACACTGCAAAGCGTTGGCCTATAAACAAACAAGTAGCACTTGAATTGTGCAAGCAATAATTGTTAAAACATATGGTTATACTGCAAAATAAAAATATCAATAAAAAAATATACTAGGTTGATCCTTTACCGGTGATATACGTTATTTTGCACACAAAAGTTGTACAGTAATTTTATTGTTTGTATAGACTGCTTGCATATATACTGAAGCCCCATATGCTTTTTCTGAAGCATCTGTGAATATATGAAGTTCACTGACTTGTGGAACTTCCGTGCTAAACACATGCCGTGGTATTGACAGTGGTTTTAAGTGTTTTAAGTTCTCTCTGAAGGTAATCCACTAAACATGCAGCTTGTCAGATAGTGGATCGTCCCAATTACAGTTGTTGCATAAATAATTTGGCTTGAACCACTACTGGAGCTAGTAGTTCTAACGGATCCAAAATTTTAGCCAAATCGGAGCTTACTATTCTCTTAGTAATTTTTGATTCATAGTTGGTGGCTGTATTGATGCTTCTTGCGGTGACCATGCGAGGCCCAATGTTTTAAAGTTTCACTGCTTAATCAGAATCAAAATCTAAATCTACCTCCTGATGTGATACTGATATATTTTGAAGTAACTTCGAATGATTTGAACATTATTTACGTAGGCGAAATCCTGGGCCTTCTAACAGTTGTATGAGTTGTTGTTGCATGTCTATTGCTGTTCCTATGTTGTCTGATACCCCTAGGCCATCATCCACATAGAAATTTTCTTGCAACACTTTTGATGCTAGTGGAAATTTATTCCGAAATTCGTTGGTTAAATGATTAGGACATCTGGTTGCTAAATAAGGTGATGGTCGAGTCCCATAAATAACTACCATATATTTAGTTGGTAATACTTAATTGGTTGATTAGTACTTCTTCTAGAAATTATAATCTGGTCATTAGGATGAACCCATATCTGTCGATACATTTTTTCTATGTCTGTTGTAAAGACATATCTTGGCAGTCTGAATCGCAGTAGAATAGTGAAAAGATCACTCTGAACTACAGGACCTACGTGTAACAAATCATTTAATGATTTTCCAGAAGTTGTTTTGGCTGATGCGTCAAAAACAATAGGTAATTTGATGGAACTGCTTTCTGGTCTCAACACACAATGATGTGGTATAAAATAACTGGAGTTGTCCTCCAGTTATTTACATCTACCTCAATCATATGACCAAGCGCCTCATATTCGACCATGAACTGAACGTATTGTTGCCTTAAGTTGGAATCCTTTATCAAACGTCTTTCTAAGCCCAAAAACCGGTTGAACGTTGTGCGCCTTCTGCCTCCTGATGTTTCTACGGATTCTGCAAACGGTAATTTTACTATGTACTGTCCCTTTTGATTTTTCTGAACATTCTTTACAAAATGAGTTTCACATCTCTGATCTGCAAACGATAATGTGGTGTCTATTTCCTTTACTTCTTCGAACTGCCAGAATTTCTTTATCATATTATCTATATGTTCACCTTCTTCCATGTCAGTAAGCATGCCGCATGTAGCTGAATTTGATGTCTGACTTTCCACTTTTCCTGAAACAATCCCACCAAATAATGTGTTTTGCAACGTTGGTAAATGAGAAGCCAGTCGAATTGTTCCTGACATCATTACTTGATGATAGAACTCTGCCCCTAGCAGTACATCAATTTTGTCAGATTGATTAAATAGTGGATCTGCTAGTACTATTGTCTTTGGTATAGCCCAACTGGCTATTTCGACATATTTTGAAGGTTGAGGAGACACGATGTTAGGTAATACGAATGCTTCTAGCTGAGTTCAAAACATGTTAATTTGAGAATGTAGCTCAACATTAATTCGATGCTGAGATTGTATTCGTTGATTATAAGAAAACGCTTGTTGATGCCAGTCACTAGCACACCCAACAGCAGAAGCCAATCTCATTCTACATGTCGATGCGAGCAATACCGCGGTGGGAGCTGCATTGCATCACATCCGTGAAGGACGATTCGAACCACTTGGGTTTTATTCAAAGCAGTTGACTGACACACAACAACGGCACAGCATCTATGACAGGAATTACTTGTCATTTATCAAGCAATTAAGCATTACAAACATATGGTAGAAGGCAGGAACCGTACGGTGTTGACTGATCATAAACCCATCATTTTCGCATTTCACCAAAATCCTGAGAAAGCATCGCCCAGACAACTCCGTCATCTGGATTACATAGGTCAATTTACTACTAATATCAGACATTTCCCCGGAAAAGATAACAGCGTAACTGATTTTATATCGCGTATTGACGGAATAGAGGGAGAAAAGCAGATTGACTTTGAGCAGTTAGCAAAGAGCCAACGAAGGGACCTGGAGCTACAACAACTCTTATCACAGGGTGAGACTTTGCTTCACTTAAAATTGGTGCATCTAGTTCATCGAATATTATTGTATGCGATTTCTCAACAAAGCATGCGCGATCAGTGGGCGATTTGTCTAGCCAAATATTAAGAGGGATGTATCGAAAATGGTAAAAACAGCAGTACACGTTGATATCGTGGGGCCATTACCACCATCAGAAGGATACAGCTACTGCCTGACATGCATAGATGAATTTAGCCGGTGGCCTGTTATTATTCCCATTATGGGCATTCGTGCAGACACAGTAGCTGCGGCGTTCATCACGGGATTTCTTTTTCTGCTTTATTTTATTTAATAAAAATAAGTAAACGAAACTAAACAATCCAGTGCAAGTAACTTGTTTCTTTTAACTGTATACAACAAAATATATAGATTCACTCCAATTACATCACATGTACACATTATATTTTTTTAAATAATAATGAAGTGTATTAAAAAAACTAAAAATAATTGCGTTAATGTTCAAAGCTAAGAAATTAATTCAAAGTTAATGGAGACGCAAACGGCACAATCGGCAAGTTTAAAACTAATCTTTCCGTGACATATATTCAGTTATATATGTTTGCTTTTTTGGTTTTATTAAATCTGAGGCAAACATGTCGTTGCAAAGGGCCAGCAGATTGCTTATGCGTCTAGCGGAATACAATTCACTTTTGTTGCACCATTTTTTTAACGCTCTCAATGGTTGTCGAATTGGAAACCCCTGATAAGACTTTAACAAATTCGTATTCGCTTCTATCTGAAGACTCAACATCTCTACTACGTTCATATGAAGATCCGTCATCAAACACATCTTCATTCCATCTTTAAATGTCTTTTATGCAAATGCTATTGTTCAGATCTATTTTCGCTAAAAGAGCCTGAGTTCTCTAAATAACTTCATTGCATTCATGATCTGCTTGCAGCAATTATACTAGCGGTACATCATCGTCGCTATCATACTGATTAGGGTCCTAGTTGAATAACTTTGACCAAGATTCATTTATCACTCTTTTTGGTACCTCATCCCAAGCTTGTTTCAATAGTACAATCACATTGCGGATTGGATGAGATTTCAAACTATTCGATGAAGGATAATATAAAGAATAATAAACTATTTTTCCATCGTTACTTCGAAGTTTTTCAATTAGTGCATGAGCGGAACAGTTATCGATAAGCAAAACGTCTTTTGGAGGCAAGTTATTTTCTTGAGAAAAGTAGGTGATCTGTAGATTGAAAATATTTTTAATTTTCTGAACCTACAATCAATTTTTTTCTTACTTCTTTAATAAATATTTTGTGAAACAAATCATGAAATATACAAGATGTCATCCATGCATTTTTTGAAAAGTTGTAATGAAGTGGATTATTAAATCCATGAAAACTCCTTGGTTTTTTCGCTCTCCTAGTTACCAATGGTACTAATTTAGTGATCCATCAGTATTCGCTCCAAGTAAGATTCTTTCTTTTTGAATTTTATATTCAGGGGAAAGTTTTTCGAAAGTAGAGACGTGTGTTCTAAAAGATAGGCAGCGGAAAAATAATCCGCTTTCGTCTACATTACATATTTGTGAATCGAGTAATTCCATCTCATCAATCTTCGCACGAAAACTGTGAATTAACTGAGTGACTGCAGAAACATCACTAGAGCTAATCTCGCCACAAATTTTTAATGAACGGATTCCATGTCGCTTCTTAAATTTATTAAACCATCAGTCACTTGCTCGGAATGCATTTTCAGCATTATCGGGATATTCCTCTCTGAATATTTGTTTGGCTTTCTCCCTTAGTATCTGTCCAGTTAATGTACATTTTTTTTCAAGTTGATTTAATAACCACTCATAAAGAATCTGTTGTATTTAGGGATATTCAGCGCTGTGCAGAGATTTGCTCATTGCCTCATGGTAGATATTTGAGACAACATTTAAAATTGCTGCTCTGTTTGATTTTATGTAGCTGATTGCAGATGGTGTCATATTAAAATTATGCGCTAACCGCTTCCCTAGAACACCTTTGTCGACTTTTTTTAAGATTTTAAATTTGATTTCCAACGATGTAATTTTTTTGCGTTTATTTAACATTTTCAATGATCTACTTTCATTTTCCTATAGAGACTGCGAAAATGTGTACACGCGTATCAAATTTCATACACAAACACATAATAAATAACGAAAAAGGGGATTCCTATTTTTATTCTGCTTTGTTCAAAACAAAATAACGAATAACATAGATAAATCCAAACAAGAAAAAACAAGATATTAGAATTTTTAATTCTAATTTTAGATTTGAATTTCAGACAATTTTAATTTGTGAACTTCGACTGTATTATATATTTGTTTGCCAGTAGTTTTTATTTAAATTTTATGTATATACACCAACAGCGCAAGCGATGTCATTTATGCAGTTGTGATAACTGCGATTTTTTTCTTCTTCTTTCTCCATTACTACGTTCAAATATTTCGTTTTTTTTTTATTTTCTTATTATAAACAGTTGGAGTCATAAGTGTACAAACAGGCAGTACAAACAACTTTGTTTATAAATTTATACCAAAAAAAATTAATTTATTAGGAACTTACTTTTTTTGTTTTTTTATAACATTTAAAGCACAATTTTTAAACTTCACGAGTTTATTTGCTTTTGTTCAAAAAACAGCTGAGATTTCGGTGCTTTTATTGTCAAGGGTAGCAAAACAAGCGATCAAAAGTCCACAAGCACTTGGTTTTTCTGCAGTTCTAATGCGAGTTAAATGCTAATTGGTGCGAATTTGGATTGCGTCTTATTTGTGCCTATTCTGAATCGCATGGAAATGGGAGTTTTTACCCGTTTCCCAATTTTGCTATTCTAAATTATATGGGAATGGGAATTTGTTCCCTGTTCCCAATTTTGCTATTCTAAATCATATGGGAATGGGAGTTTTTCCCAATTTTGCACAAAATCTTTCCCAAGCAAATTGTTTTCCCAAGCAAGCAAATAAAGTAGAAAGTAATATAAACTTATCATAAATAATCGAGACAGTGACTCTTTACAAAATTTATAAAAACAATAGTGCCCGACTTAACGTCAAAAATGATACATTAATATAATTATATAGTTTTTATGTAAAAAAGTGAACTTTGACTTTGCAGAATTGCCTTTCTTTTTAAGTTCCTTATTAGTCTTAAATTCACACACATTTAAAAACAGCTGATAAAGACAGCAAATAAAGCTTTAAAGTTTAAAATAAAAAGTGTTGGAAACAGTCATAAAAACTAAACCAATTGTAACTCGTGTAATTGTCTAATAATATAGCTAAATAATTAACTAATGCTATATAACTAAATTAATAAATACGTGTAAGGACATTCAAAATATTTAACAAATCTTAAAGTAAAAAAAAAAATATTTGAATTCAAACAAAAAACAAAACAAAAAAATTTGTAAATTTAGAATTTTAAATAATTAAAAAAATATAAACCAACTGTAATTATATTGTAAACATACTGTATGAGCGATTGCGAACGCATTGTACGTCAACAGTCTCTAATAACAACAGCTTCAAAAATTGTGTAATGAAGAAAAATATGAACATCTCCAAGACAAAAGATCGAATCAAGCTGTAGTCGTAATCGTACAGGTACAGGTAAAAACCACACAAGCCAAAAACAAACCAAACTAGATTCATACTGGTTGAATCGACCTGTCAAACCAAACCCATACACAAACCTACAGGTAGATGACAATGAAATAAATGAAGAATCGTTAAAAAATAATGATAGTACTCCTTCAAAAGTACAAAAATTTTCACCAATATTTATTGATAAGGTACATTGCATCAAGCCTCTAATAGATCTATTAAACGAACATGCGCCTAATCAATTCTACTTAAAAGTACTAAATCCAAGTCAAGTAAGAGTTCAACCTTCTACATCTGACTCTAACGTAAGTATTGTAAAACAGTTTGAGTTCAAAAATACAGAATTCTACACTTAAAAAACAAAAAACGGAGCGAAGCTTTAGAGTCATATTGTAAAAGTTGCATCACTCAACCGATATTGAAAAAATCAAAATTGCACTTCTGGAGCTTGAACATAATTCTGTAAATGTTTGGAACATTAAACGTAGAAGGTCAGGAGAACCTCTTCCCATGTTTATTATCGAACTTGCTCCAAACCTAAACAATAAGGATATTTATTTGATTAACAAACTCCTGTATACTACAGTTATATTCGAACCACCTCACCCGAAACGTGAAATCCCTCAATGTGCAAACTTCTAACAGTATGGGCACACAAAAAGGATACAGTCACCGCTAAACCAAGTGTATCAAGTGCGTTGGAAACCATGTTTCTGTAAATTGTGATAGGGAAAGTAGATCCAATGATGTCAAATATATTTTATGTGAGGGAAATCATCCCGCCAATTACAAAGAATGTCAAATCTACAAAAAGATGCAAATTCAAGAAAATCCTCTGCCCTCTTTAACCAAAAATTACATTACGAATTCTCATTCATCACAAACATTCGCACAAATAGTGAAGTCAGACACCAGTAGCGCAACAGAGGAGAAGCTTTCACCAATTCCATATAATTTTGTGGAAGAACTCCGTGAGATGACATCACTGTTGAAATAAATGCAACAAATCGTAGTAATGACAAATTTTTTGATCAAATTGACGACTAAACAAAATTCTTGATTTAGTCGTAGTTATATGGAACGCAAATCGAATAAAATCGAAATGAAAGTATTCTTAAAAATAAACCAGGTCGACATAATGCTGGTATCAGAAACCCATTTTATGACGCGTAAATTGAATTTTATGAACTACGTAAAATTCTTTCTTTAAAATTCCCAACTACGAACTTTATCACACAATGCATCCCAATGGTAAAGCAAATGGTCGCCCTGTGAACCTCATAAGGAAAACGATAAAACATTATGAAGTAAAACCATATTGCTCGAATAAAATTCAGGCCACAAACATTGTAGTACAAACTAAAGAAGCTGATGTAACTTTCTCATCACTCTACAGCCCACCGCGTCACAGTATTTCGAAGAATATGTATATATCAAACTACAAACCTGCATTAACAATGTTGGTCTATGGATGAAAAATTTGCGTATCAAACCAAATGAGTCAAAATCTGTCCAAGTAACATTTACTACAATACGTTCTGTTTTAATAAACAATACTTAATTACCACAAACTGTAGAAATAAAATACTTGGGCATACATCTGGATAGTAAACTAACCTGGAAACCACATATATTTAATAAGCGTAAAACCTTGGGTCTCAAATTGCGAAACTTATTTTGGTTCCTCAGCCAAAATTCCAAACTGTCACTTGACAATAAGCTACTTATATACAAAACTGTACTAAAACCAATATGAAGTTATGAAGCCCAATTATGGGGTACTGCAGCAGACTGGCAATTATCTAGCGTTTTCAATCTAAAACACTACGAATGATCACAAACGCACCTTGGTATATAACGAATGAACAGCTGCATAAATAACTACGTGTTCGGATAAACCAAACCCGCTGGTTACACACTTGATGTCTGTTATAATCTAGTATGTTTTATATTAGTTTAAACAATCCTAACTAATGAAATGTAAACAAATCAGGGTTTGAATTGCTTGCTGAAAATTAGCAAAAGCAACCATATTTTGACTAATGCATAAACATAGACCAATCGATTTTTGTCAAACGACTAATTGCTAACGCATTGCATATGAAAATGAAATAAAAATATGCATTAGCAACAGCAAAAAACGTAAACTGGTTTCATTTTGATTGCTTGCTAATAGTCAATTTTACATTTTTGACTATTATGCGTTTGGAATATATGCAACGTGCTTGCTTATGCGTTAGCTGCTTGTGTTTTACTATTAGCAAATGTGTATGGATTTCTTCTTTTTGTTTTTGTTTTAAAGGAATATGTACGCATTATTTCTTTGTTGGTGCATTGAATATAGTTGTGCAAAATTGTAAGTAATGTGTGTGCGTACAATTTGTATGCAATTAATATAATTTTATCTGTAAATAGATTATGCCTAAATTTATGTTTTTTTAATTATTAAATTTATGATATATATGATATATATATATATATGATATATATATATAAAATCGGCAGAACCGATTTTGATGAAATTTTTTGTGTGTGTTCAAGTGGATTCAAGGAAGGTTTAGATTCACAATTTGACCCACTGGATAATGTCTTTTTAATTAATTTTTTATTTTTTGGTATCCATATACATTTATATTAGACATTTAAAAGTTATTCATGCTTACTTTGATTTATTAAAAAGATTAAACTCTAAAATGAATCGTTCAACTATCCTGTTGAATTTTTGAAATCACTGGTTTTACCAGAAATACTACCACATAACTTAAGATTAAAAATTGGCTCACCTATAATTATGCTGCGGAATTTAAATGCACTTAAGCTATCAACGGCAGTTTTACGATTCATTTTAGAGATTTTAAACTTTCTAAAGAAATCAAAGTAAGCGTGAATAAATTTTAAATTTCTAATATAAATGTGTATGGATACCAAAAAATAAAAAATTAATTAAAAAGACATTATCCGGTGGGTCAAATTGTGAATCTAAACCTTCCTTGAATCCACTTGAACACACACAAAAAATTTCATCAAAATCGGTTCAGCCGATTTTATATATATATATCATATATATATATATATCATATATATATATATATCATATATATCATAAATTTAATAATTAAAAAAAACATAAATTTAGGCATAATCTATTTACAGATAAAATTATATTAATTGCATACAAATTGTACGCACACACATTACTTACAATTTTGCACAACTATATTCAATGCACCAACAAAGAAATAATGCGTACATATTCCCTTAAAACAAAAACAAAAAGAAGAAATCCATACACATTTGCTAATAGTAAAACATAAGCAGCTAACACATAAGCAAGCACGTTGCATATATTCCAAACGCATAATAGTCAAAAATGTAAAATTGACTATTAGCAAGCAATCAAAATGAAACCAGTTTACGTTTTTTGCTGTTGCTAATGCATATTTTTATTTCATTTTCATATGCAATGCGTTAGACATTATGCAAGCAATGCAATTAGCAACAGCAATTCAAACCCTGAAACAAAATTAGTCAGATATAAACTGTCAATCGTGTCGGTCATATTTACTTCAGATGGCGACGAGGATAAAAAACTGCAATTATTCAATCGCTTTCACGCTTATTTCGTGCCGTTTCTCTTCATGGTAGGCACCTTGACGTGGTGTAGGGGCTTAGCTACAACTCGGACTATAAATATGAATATTCGCAATCACCTGGCATTTGCCAGATGACTATGAATTTTTATCGTTTCTAGAACGAGGTGTACAGCCAAAATCTACCTTTAGGTAGTTTTGAGTTGTCATGTAGTCTATGTTTTCACGTAGTTGTGTT